AGCAAGGGAGTACTTTATTTTTTATGAACTATAAACTACATACACTTTTTTATCGGCGTCTTTGTCAATTTACTGTCAACTACAAAAACTTTTTGTTGGCGTCTGTGTTTGTTTAGTATATTTTAGTCAGTTGTGTGTGTGTGTATGTGAAGAATGTTTACATAGTTTAGACCGCTGGATTCCAATTTTTGTCATGTTCACCTTTTTTATGTCTGTAGAGTCTGTTTTATTCCATTTTTTCAATAAAACGCAACAATAAACATTTGTCATATTAGTGGAGGTTTAGTAAACTATTAAACCAGGTTTATCACACCATTTGGTTTGGAAATTTTTTTTGTACCAAGTAAGAAATATGACAGTTGTTTTGTAGTCGTTCATTTGGTTGATAACGTTTGAATTAGTCAAATTATATAGACCTTCCTTTCATTGAATTTTCCTTAGAGTTCGGTAATTTTGCAATTCTTTTCTATTGCTAGAGGAAAGAGACTTCAATTGTATGTACTCAAACATATCTTTCGATTATTTAGTATTAACATATGATTCACAACGACTCAGTAAATTCGAAGCCCGACTTTGCCTGATAATACCATTGTGTTTAAAGTTTGGAGGAAAGAGGTTTCCTGGAGCACTTGGCAGATCCAGCAATATATGTTGTTTCTGAAGACACTTATGTATTTTGGTATCCAGTACTCTAAAAGAATTTAACGTTGTTCCTCCTTGGCTTAAATTACGAAGGAACAAGAAACTGACCTATAATTTTTCATGGTTTCCTCCTTGGTAAATGTCGTTTGGGAATATATTGAGTGTCCAAGTGAATTGTCAATACCTTATTTCGTTATCAAACAATTTATGTAATGTGATTTACACACACCGAAAATGATATTCGGGGCTTTATTTGCGGGAACAATATATTTGTCATGGTGCCTTAGATCTTTGAGATAGATGTAACATAAGTGTTTATAGACCCACTCATGTTTTTTTTTTAATATTTCTAATTAATATTTACGAGCTCACAGCCTTATATAAAAAAGAAAAGTTCAATTTGGCGAATGTTGTAAAGTTAAATTCCGATCCAAATATCACTGTTAATTTCTAGAAGTAGTTCAATATATGAAGTAGTATCAACTATATTTGTGGTGTTTTTTACTTTTTACTCTATTGGATTGATGCATTCAATATATTCCACGATGTATGAATTATTCAATTATAAGAGGATTTTAGTTTTCAGACAGACTTTTTTGTATTTGTGGTATCCTTAAGTTGACACATATTGGATGTATGCAATCAAATATATTTCAGCCAATATTTACATCTCATATATCCCAGTGAACTTGAAATAAAGGATACTACTGATACTAGAAGGACTGCTTCATACCTTGATCTTTTCCTCAATATTGACACAGATGGACGACTTCACACGAAAATCTATGATAAACGGGACGATTTCAACTTCCCATGTCTCAGCAGTAACATACCCGCTGTCCCTTCGTATGGTGTTTACATATCTCAGTTGATACGTTATGCTCGTCGTGTTCACACTATACAGACGACATATACAGGAGTGTGCTCCTAATGCAGAAACTGCTCCAACAAAGTTATGAGGAGGACAGATTAAAAATGACACTCCGTAAATTTTATGGACACCATCACGAATTGGTTGATTCATACGATGTGTCTTTGTCCAAACTGAAAAAGGACATTTTTACCACGTGTTAGATTGTGGTTTGCCATTACATCATCTTATATTTTAAGTACCGAACGTGACTTATTCCCGATTGTGACTGTTTTGCTGAGTGTGAATTCGCATTGCTATAAGACGTATCACGGATTTTTCTATCCAAAATCCATGTATTTAGTTTTGATGTTATATTTGTTATTCCCATCGGATTTTGTCAAATGTCTTATCGTTTGTAGTTGTATATTTTATTTTTTCTGATCTATATGTGTGTTACGGTAAAGATAATGAATCACCTATTTCATTTATAAGATTTTAATTTCGGCCAACTAAATTTACACGATGTATTTGGTTTACAGTTTGATTTAGAAGAAATACCGACATAGCTTGATAATACAATTAATAACTACTACATTTTTATATTAATAAGTATTGTAATTTTCATTGTTATAAATACATGTTATATCAGTATTACAAACCTAATCTTGAACTCTATCCTATTTTTTTGGAAATTTATAGTAATTTAAATGTGACGTCACATTGTCGATTTCTTCGGCTACCATACAATACTTTGTCCGGCTGTGCCTTTGTTATGTGCTGATTTCGGTTGTTTTACGTATTCGTTTTTATTCTGTAGTTAGGCACCACATCGGTGTTAACATGTATATCTATTATATAGTCATTTTCATAAATTTACTGTTTGCAAAAGTATCAATTATTCTAAATACTAAGGATTTTCTTATCACAGGCATATAACCTTAGCCGTATTTGGCACAACTTTTTGGAACTTTTGGTTCTCTATGCTCTTCAACTTTGTACTTGTTTTGGCTTTCAAACTTTTTTGATCTGAGCGTCACTGATGGGTCTTATGTAGACGAAATGCGCGTCTGGCGTATACATTATAAGCCTGGTACCTTTTGATAGATATTATTTGTGCGTGTTTCTGTCCTGTATGTTCTCCCATTTATGTGTGTTGTAGTCCTGTCATGTAATCTTGTCATTTTAATATTATATTTAACATTGCCATAAAAGCGGGAGGTTTGGCTAGCCACAAAACCAGGTTCAACCCACCATTTTTTTTTTTTATTAAAATGTCATGTACCAAGTCAGGAAAATGGCCATTGTTATATTTTAGTTCGTTTCTGTGTGTGTTGCATTTTAGTGTTGAGTTTCTGTTGTGTCGTTGTTCTCTTATATTTGATGTGTTTCCCTCAGTTTTAGTGTGTAATGTAGATTTGTTTTTTTTTTCTCAATCAATTTATGCTACTGTTGCCTTTATTCATCAAACTAGCGGAACATGATGTTACTTTTTAAGAAAATATTAACTTCTTTTCATTCGTGAAAAATTCGTGTATGAAGTCCTCCTTAAACAAATAAAAAAGAAGTTGCTTAGAAAGGCCCATTCAGTTCCCTTAGGAATGTCACATTTTGAAAACACATTGACCAAAATGTTAATGAATAAATCAAAGAAAGTAATTTTCATTGACTCGGTGTTTTTCTCTCTTTCTTTTCTGAAGCAGATTTACATCGACTATTTGTTTATTCAAATAATTTCTAAGTCGGACTATATCTTTCAAAATGTCTTCAAGTGTAGATTCAGAAAATATTCTGTTAAGGTGGAGAATTCAATAGCACGAGAAAGGAGATTGTATGTGTACTCTTAACATATCTTTTTTTTAATTTTAGTATACACACCCTAAGATAAATAGTTCATATTAACAGTGAAACACGTTTTTTTTTGTAAACAAATGGGTATGAGTTTTCTTGTACTTGACATGAGCAACTAGACGGATGCCACTAGTGGATCAAGAACTTTTCATTCTATCGGACACCTTTCACCCCGTTTTTAGGGGGGAGGATGACAGAGGTAAAAAAATTTGGTCACCTTGAATTTTTCAAATCTTCGGTAAATCCCATGATAAAGATTTCTGGGATATATAAAATATGCGATCACGTCCGTTTGGACGCTTCATGAAGGTAGTGTAATCTCTACATGTTGAAGAACTTTTTTTGGAGGTGTGTAGGTGGTGGTTGCTATTCCAAATGGCTTTCCCTATCTAAACCCTTTTTCCGGTTGCAGTCTAAAGATAATACCCTTTGTCCTAGTCAACACACTTTGCAGAATCTGCCTATTGATGTTTTGTTAATCTGTTCTGTAATACACGAACTATTTGCCACTGTAAGTTGATCAATCAATAAACAATTAATCAACGGTCTTTTTCTTTTTTGGCTTCGTGTGGTACAATCATTGACAGAACATAGTTTGCAATATCCTTGATTTCAAGTTAACAGTTACATATGTAAGTTCTTGATGTAAAAAAGGATTAGCGTGTACGAGTACTTGATAACTATATCTATAAGATTTACAAATTCTAGCAGATCCATTTTCGTGTCATTAAGAAATTGTTTGACAATTCTGCTTCATATGAGTTCAAGAACTAGTGTAATAACAATTGAAAACCTGGATTTGCATGAGATGCGGTTCTTGTCGTCCTACATTATGTCACTACTTTGGGGTGTGTGGCATTCCTACTAATTTTAGCGGTGTGTTAAACATTTTTAAGTGTTTCCGTCTCAACAATATCTTTGCACCGATTTTTTGTACTTTCCGTTTATATATGTATATACATGTACGATGTACATAAAATATTTAAAGTCGGCGTTTTGTGCAATTTGCTTATCAAAAGCTCATTAAAACAATAGATGGAAACTTATATAATTGAGTAAATATTTAAAAATCATTTTATTGTACATGACTTGTAGATAGCAAGAAATGAGCTCTCGTAAAGGAGTAATACCACCATTGACTTCCCCTATTAGTCTTTGTAAAATTGGCACTTTTCAAAAAAATCTGCAGAATTTATCTATGTTTCAAATATAGAAATATTTGGCATGAGTAAAGTTTGAACCGGTGCAGTACTACAGTGAAAATTTCACATAACATTTCGTTTCATATAAGATAATAAATATCACCGGAAGTAAACCTATCATATTTTCAGGCTTTTTTTCCCTGTTAATAAGCTGTAGTGACCATAGCACCTTAAAGTCCTTAAATATTTTATAGAAACAGCAAATAAAAAAGAATGGTGCTTTTAAACATCCAAGATATATGTTTATGACTCAGAATTTTTTTTCTCAATGAAATACAGGGTTAATTTCCTACAACTGTCCAAATCAAGGAAATATTTTTTTCGACCATTTTCGTATGAAACCGGGTGTGACGTACTATGATTTGGTGATATTGCACCTAAAGCGAAGAACCTGATACATTGTTATTGACAATAACAATATTATGGAAGATGAATGAAGGCTAGAAACAACAGTATTCAGTATCATTTTTTTTTAATTATACACATAAAGTACATAAAGTATGTATGTTCGGATACCCACTAAAAGCAATTGTCATTCTTTGAACATTTTAAAGTCATTTCAATTAATCATATTTCGATAGTTAATCACAGTCTGTATCAGGTCTACTAGCAGGTCTTCGTTCATTTTTCAGATGCATCTAAGGCGGCATTAAATGCTGATAAACGAAACGCACAACGGGAAAATAGACACCAGTTCCTAGCAACTATACAAAATGGGAAATAAACTTTTAATACACTGTGCACATTTAACCAAAAAAAGTAAAATAACAAAAATACCGAACTCCAAGGACAATTCCAACCATAAAGTCTCTTATCCAATGGCAAAATCAAAAGCTCAAACACATCAAACGAACGGAAAATAACTTTCATATTCCTGACTTGGTACAGGCATTTCCTTATGTAGAAAATGGTGGAATAAACCTGGTTTTATAGCTAGCTTAGCCTATCACTTGTATGATAGTCGCATAGAATTTCATAATATTGACAACAATATGTGAGTAAGTGGGTGTGGTTTGTTTTAACTGGTGATGCTTTGTTGCTGAATGAGAGCTCATGAATTGATTTCATTATTGGCGCAAAATGCAACTTTTTTCCTAGATAAATGTTCAATTTAGTCTGAGAAAACATATTTTATTAATTAGTTATAATTTGGCTGTGAATTACCTTTTAATAATTTCGACTACTCTAAGATCTCTGCCGGGTTTCCTTTATCTATCTGTCATTATCTTTGTGATAAGTACCAAACAGAAGGAACAAGCTCTTTCCGATTGATTTTACAGTCAGCTCTTATGTTATTATTTTACACATCCGTCACATTTAAGGGAAAAGATTAAGCGCTCATAAGCATGCTTGACCACATTATGTATGTAACTGTCCCAAGCCAGGCGCATGTGAATTAGTAGTTATCGTTTTTAATTAAATCGTCTGCCATATGACTGTTGTTCGTGTTTTGTAGAACCATGCCGTTGGTTTTCTCTTTTGAGTTGTTTCGTATTTTGTAATCCTTGTGCCTTTTCAAACTAATTATACGGTACGGTTATTTATTGTTCACATTTTGATTATTGGTCTTTAGAGATAATTATCTCATTGAAAATCATACGTGAATGCATGTCAATATATTCTGTAATGACACTTGTTAGAAGTTAACATTTTCTTTCATACATAAAGGCAACAGTAGTATACCGCTGTTCGAAACTCATAAATCGATAGAGATAAAAACAAATCCGGTTCACAAACCAAAACCGAGGGAAACGCATCAAATATAAGAGGATAATAATATATAATATATATATAATATTTAATATATATGTGATACAATTGTAAAAAAAAAAAGAATCATTATCATATCAAAATTCGAAGGAATATATGTATTTTCAATATTGCAATATAATCCTTGTGACCCGAATGTAGCCTACCGTATTAGACTTATCACCGGGCTTGCACTTACATTGAGTAACACGACGGGTGTCACAGCTGGAACAGGATCTGTGTATCCTTCCAGATCACCTGAGATCACCCCCGGTTATTGGTGGGGTTCTTGTTGCTCAATCTTGAGTTTTCTATATTATGTTTTGTATACTGTTGTTTGTCTTTTGGTATTTTCCATTTTTGCCATGGCGTTGTCAGTTTATTTTGACTAATGAGTTTGAATGTTCCTTTGGCATCTTTCGTGTCTATTTTATAAAATCAAATATAAATGATCAAAAAATAATAAATTCAAGTTAGAATGTTTGCTAGCTAGACTTTGAAATCACTATTAGCTTCATTTACTTGCTTTTTCAATGGTTAAGCTAGACATTCAAATCATGGCATGTGTAGAAAACTGATGACTGATAAAGCTGTTTGCCCAGTTTGTTACTATATCATGTATATATTTATAATAGTTAAATATAACATAGAATGATTGGTTACTAAACGGTGTTGAGCACACACTCAAATATATACGCTGTAACCCACAATCTATCATTCTATATTAAATGCAAGCAGGTGACTGGTAAATGCTTAAATAGGAAGCACTACTAGAAGGTTTGTCGATTATTTGATATTTAAACATTTTATCAAATTTTTTTTCTTAGTTCAACCGTAGGTTATTTAACATGAATTAAGTGATTTAACTATCTTAAACCTACCATCGTCAGTGTCTGCGTCCTCTAATTTGGTACCTTCAATTAAAAAAATTATTTCTCAAATTACTGTAGTTTCCTAATCGTTTCATGAAATATCATACACACGAATTGATGTCCAACAATTATTGAAATTTTATATTTTTTAAAATGTAAAATACAGAAATTACAATTCTATGAATTTACATTATCTGAAAAAATTTAATACTAAAAATACCGTATTCTTAACATATTATGTAATTATATTTTGTAAAATGTAAAATACAGAAATTACAAGTCTTTGAATTTACATTATCTGAAAAAAAATAAATACTAAAAAAGCCTTATTCTAATCAAAATTTTTAAATGTTTTTTTTTCTATGTAATTGAGGAATACATAGTCAACTTGACTTTTTTCTAGTTTGCCTATGCAATGCAACTTGGAAATCTTCTGATGAAAGATAATCCACATAAAGTACCTCTTTTCTGTCTACTGGGTTTGTTCACTGGCGTAACTTCAGCATACAGTGTCGTGTAGTCTTTACAAAACGATGATGGCCTTTCTCCTGCTAAAGCTTTGACGTCATCATATAACATTTTTACAGGAATTATCTTTAGGAAATGATCATGGACTTCAGTGGTAACACCCTGTGAAATTATAATACATTATGTCAATGACTTCATAAGTTTTGTGTGCAATCGTTTAGTTTAAACAAAAAATCAATTTGTTTGTGTATGTGTATATACTTTATTGCATTAAGCCGAGCAGCCTAGAAAACCATCTATCTTTAACGTAAGTATATATACAAATATATATGCTAACATAATATGATAGCATACCGTTTTCTTTGTTGTCTCTGATCATAACACTAATTCCGCGACAATAAATCAGATATCAAATAAAACTGCGCTGTCAAAAAAGTTTAAAGGACACATATTTCATCACTATTTGTTTATTTAAAATTAAATAGGGAATGATTATTTGATTAGGGAAAGGCATATAAAGCTTAAATGATAAGACTTACAATTCTGTACTTTTCGTCTGTTCCCATGGGAACGGGTGTTTTTGTTAAGATACACGCTTTTTTGTTAATGTTCTTTAGTACTCCGTAACCCTGAAATATCAATGACACAGTTACTTTTACGTAGTATTTCTTAACACATTGAATTACAAGCAGCACTTTTTATATGATGATTCATACCGATTTCATTATAAAAAAATAGAACGAATTGATATCAAAGACATAGATGTAAAGGCTGACTCAACATCATGTCAGATTTAATTTTAGACTGAAATTCTTATGTGTCCTTCAAATCTTTGAAGAATATTGAACCTCCTGTTTGTGACCAAATTTCAAAAAAAATATGGTATGTTTGCCTGTAAGACATTTTTCCACCAGAAACCAACAGTAGGACGCATAGTTCAACAATGAGCGAAACCAATATCATATTGTAAGCTTTGTGATACCAAGGCATGAAACATTTCAGAAAAAGAAAAAAAACCAAAGGCCTGCTTAATGATAAAATCAATTAGATGCATGATTTTTTTTTTGTTAGTTGTTATTGGCTTTGAACTAGCTGTCAGTAACTGCACTGCGAGTACTCTAATATCTGTACTTAGAGTCTTTTTGATGTTGGGATGTACAAGTACCCGTAACGTCCACTATGTGTTTTTGTTAGATGTATTTCTATTTGTATTCATCTGATGAGTTAAGCCTTTTTCAAATGATTTTTATAGTTCGTTCTTGAACAGTATCAAAAATTTTTAGAAATTTACCTGTGACGTCACTTTTGCGGCGTTGACCCAGTCGTGTGAAAGACAGTTCGTGGTTCTGTTGTGCTGTTTTGTTTGCTGCACTATGTTGTTTTGTGTGTTCGTTTTTATTCTGTGTTTAGCATGTCGAAATGTACTATTGTATTGTTTATTTGCGTATTTCTCTGTCCTGAATGTAATTGCATTTATTTGTACTTGTTCCTGTCATGTAATGGTACAATGTATCATTTTAGTGTTATATTTATCATTGCCATAAAAATGCGAGGTTCGGCTAGCCACAAAACCAGGTTCAACCCACCATTTTTGTACCAAGTCGTGAAAATGGCAGTTGTTATCTTATATTTCGTTTCTGTGTGTGTTGCATTGTCGTTTGTTTTTTGTTCACTTCAGTGTTTCTGTTGTTTCGATGTTTTCCTCTCATAGTTGATGTGTTTCCCTCGGTTTTAGTTTGTTACCCGGATTTATTGTTGTCTCAATCGATTTATGACTTTCGAACAGCGGTATACTTTTGTTGCCTTCACTTATGTTGTACTGTTACACCACTGTCCCAGGTTAGGGGAGGGTTGAGATCCCTCTAACATGTTTAACCCCGCCACATTCTGTGTGTATGTGCCTGTCCCAAGTCAGGAACCTGTAATTCAGTGGTTGTCGTTTGTTGCTGTGTTACATTTTTTTTTACGTTCATTTTTTTGTACATAAATTAGGCCGTAAGTTTTCTCGTTTGAATTGTTTTACATTTGTCATTTCGGGGCCTTTTATAGCTGCCTTTGCGGAATGGGCTTTGTTCATTGTTGCAAACCGTACGGTGACCTATAGTTGTTAATTTCTGTGTCATTTGGTCTCTTGTGAAGAGTTGTCTCATTGGCAATCAAACCACATATTCTTTTTATATAACAACAGCAACCGATGACAACCACCAGAATTCTGGCATTATCAAACTTTAGTGATTAAGTTGATTGCATTTAATCCATTGATCTTGAAATACATAGATAAAGATAAATCTGATTTATATCGTGACAAACATCTTCAGATTGATGCCGTGAGCTACAATTTACGACAAAAGAGATGATTTTATTTTTGTCAGTTAGGAGTTTCCAGTTCTTTGTAGTAACATCCATCAGCGCTGTCAAATACATATCTAGTTTGCACGATATTAAAGAACTTTGCATTTTGAATTATGATTGCCTTGATAGAGGTATGCTGCTTTAAAAGAAGCAATTGTGCATAGAATTTTGAATAGAAAAATACATCCCTTCGAAAGTTTTTCAGACGCCTTATATTTTGTTGAACAGTTTGGAATATCTGTGTCGGAGATGACACGAAATGTTTCACTAATCGAAGACACATCTCTGATTGGGACTTCACGTAATGCAACTTATAACAGAATAACTACTTTCAATAAATAAGAACACATGTGCCACGCGTAGAGAAGAAACCATTCTTCCGAAACAACCCCAATTTTTATGTTCGTGTTTATCGATTTTTAATTCACTGTAAACTGTTGTTTTACTGCTGTGTCTCTCTTTGATACTGTTTTCTTCACTTTGCTGTTTGTTGCCTCTTCCACTGATTTCTATTCCTTTGCTTATTCATACTTCATTGTTATGCGTGTCCTGTTACATATTTGTTTTAATATGTCTCGATAAAAGATTGTTATATTTGAAAGTTTTAAACTTTATTCTGTATTTTAGAAACCCAAAGTCTATGCTTACCGTGTTATAATCATGGAAATTCACTGTTGGTATCCCATTCTTGTACTTAGAAACATCGCCAATGACTGCAATGACAGTTTTGTCGATAGTATCATGTATAACATCCATATGTATTTCCTGACCCTGATGATCAATTTCAATCAGATGATTTACCTACAGAAATGAACAATAGCAGTGATGAAACAATAAGACTTACATTACAAATGTTACAGAAAAATTAAATAAATTGAAAGTGGCTTCGACAAATGCATTTTTGTGATTATAAACGTCATATTCGCAACACTTTGACTGTGTATCAAATGAAATGATATGCGCTTGCGCTTTAGATGAAGGGTTATGGTTAATTTTCCTGACTGAATTATATATCAAAGCAATTTTCAAGATGTTCACACTTCAAAGCTTAAAGCAATTTTATGTCGTATTTGTTAAACATTCTACAAATTGTAAAGATTTAGAAAATGACCAAAACTGCAATTTTATATATGGCAGATTATCATCCTTAAAACTGAATAAAAGACTGTCCAAAACAACATCTAAGATCAATAAGTCGTAACAATAGGAATTAATCTCGTAATATAAACGGGGGCCGTTAACATTTTATCTCAACATTCGCAACTATATACCAAAACTTTTGTTATAGCAACAGGCAGCTAAGAAAACCAATTTGATTTTGTGAATTAATGTAACATTGTTGCAAAATGTTTGAATGTATAACATCATCGAAGAAACCAAGGTTCTAATTTGGTACATCAGACGCAGTTTCGTCTTCATAATACTTATCAGTGACGCTCGAATTAAAATAAGGCAACAGGAGTATACCGCTGTTCAATAGTCATAAATCGAGTAAGCGAAAACATTCCGGGTTACAAACTAAAACCGTGGGAAACACATCAACTATAAGAGGAAGACAACGGAACAACAGAAACACTGAACTGCATCAAATACAAACATACATAGAAACGAACTATTTGATAACAACTGCTATATTCCTGACTTGGTACAGAACATTTTAAGAATAAATGGTGGCCTAAACCTGGTTTTATGGCTAGGCAAACCTCCCGCTTATATGGCAATGTTTAAATACCGCTAAAATAACAACGTTACGTGACAGTACAATTAAACTCAGTTGGAAAGCCAAATCAAATTCAAAGATGACGAACATGTCTTCTTTTTTCATTATGGGCAGGTAGGCCAACTAATTGAAAGTAATCATAAAAGGAAAATAATACTCACTTCAGGTGCAGTTTCCACGTACACGACCAACAGAATAGATAATGCCACTGCAATCTTCATGATTTCGTAAATTGTTAAAGTTTAAAATACTGCAACTAAAAAGATACGGAAATATTTGTCATATCTACATAACGAAAGCAAAAGCTTATGGAGTAAATTCGAAAACACAACTTAACCCAAATGAATATAAATTCGACGTTTGTTTACTTACAGTATTTGCTAGTATCTCTTCTCTACAATATGATATGCCTCTCGAGAAGTGCTCTTTTATATGCTCCTAAAATCCGGTTTCAAAGTTTTCAGAATTTTTCTTTTTTAATCGTCCTTTTAATTTCATCTTGTTTTCCTACGAACGCACTTAATAATTTAGGTTCTGTTTGTTGATCGCTCTGATATAGAATGAAATTTAATATAGTTTACAACTTCACAAAAGCTGGTAAATACACAGTACACTCAATGACACACAAACTGTGTAACCAACATGCGGAGGCAATTATCAATTGATTAGTGTACATTGAATGAGAAGTAAGCTGAAACAAATAACAAATTTGATGCACGGAATTGTACTTTAACATTTTGTCTGATAAGCTTATTACAAAAATACTCTGTATAAACTTTACTAAGGGAAGGGGTAAACAATATCATTTTGATTTTGCAAGGTCAATATGTATGAAACAGCAACCCAATGAAAAAATACGAAACACATCTAGTTGGCACCATGCAGTCTACAGTTGATGTTTTGTTCGATTGATATTTAATTATTTTTCCATTTTTACTGCATGATTTACTTTAAAAAAATTAAATTTGTGATACACAATATCATCTGTATTGAATAGAGGGGTGGACAGGGGATACATTTCTCCCCTCCCCCCCCCCCCCCAAACCTCCCACCTCCCTCAAAAGCTGTCCACCCCCCTCTGAGTTAGTAAAATGATGATGATTGTCCTTCTGAATCACCTGATATTAACCCAGTTTCATAGGAGTGTTTCTCTCTATATGTTGACTTGTTTGTCTTTTCGTCTTCTTTCCTATTGTTCCATTCCATGTTAGGGTCTCTTCGACATACGAGCTTTCAATGTCCCTTTGGTTTCCTCTGACTCTATTTATCATCATGTAATAAAATCATCATCAAATATCGAGTACAAATATAGCATAAAATATAGGTGAAAGATGTTGCATAACTTCCCAAAACATAATTGATAAATAATTTCAATATCACATTGCCCCAATGCCATTCATTAAATTCAATACATTAATAAGGAAAATTCAAAACGAAAAGTTTCTTAACAAATGGCAAAATCAAAAGCTCAAATACATCAAACGAATGGAAAACATAATTATTTACGAAATAAATAAATCATTGTAGTAATATTAGAAGTCGGGTATTTTTTTTTTTGTATTTTTTATTGTTTGTTTTATTTTTTGATGTTTTGACGACGATCGACGAATAACATTTCTTTGAACGTGGTAATAACACTATTCATTATTTTTTTTCCCTTACATTATATTGATGGAAAATATTGCGTCGTTTTTGTCTCGTCTACAAAATTTAGCAGAATGAGAATTACAATCCTTGTATTACGAATTGCCCTTCTTTCATATGTCCATTGTTATCGACCTCGTTATGTCCATTGTTATCGACCTTTGTTATGTCCATTGATATCGACCTTAGCGACTGCTGTCATGTGAATTTTTCACTTTTTATGAGCAGTAGGATAACAATCTGTGTTATATGAGTTTCTTGCAACGTCTACATATCAATCAGACAGGATTCACCGGACCTCATTTCATGGATCAGTGATCAAGTTTAAAATTACGTGATTATGTCTGTTTATCAGATATCATAAGCAGTCGATCTACTTTATATGGTGTATGGAATGATTGTAAGGTTTAGATGTCAGCATGACAGGTTTCACATGACATTGACCTCGTTTCCATGATTAATTAGTCAATGTTTAGTTTTTGTGTTTTGGTTTGTATTTCAAATACTATAAACAATATGTCCACTATATTTGGTGTATGTAATAATTGTAAGTTGAACATGCCTGTCTGGCAGGTACTATCTGTCCTATACCTCATTTTCATGGTTTATTGGTCAAGGTTAAGTTTCTGCAGTTAGTAGATATAAGAAGATATGGTATGAGTGCCAATGAGACAAATCTCCATCCAAGTCACAATTTGTAAAAAGTAAACCATTATAGGTGAAAGAACGGCCTTCAACACGGAGCCTTGATTCACACCGAACAACAAGCTATAAAGGGCCCCAAAATGACCAGTGTGAAATAATTTAAACAGGACAACCTGGAACAAAATGGCTTTAAATAAAATAACGTACACAAGTAACTTTAAATATGATAATTTTGTTGATAGGAATACTGAAATATTTAAAAAAAATAAATATGTTGTTCATAGAACGAGAACAGAAGTGAAAATTTGTCGTAATACTTATCAAAGGTGGTACATATAAAAAATATTGAGACGAGATATAACACAAAACAAGCACACATTGAATAACAAAAATGCATTACAAATTGTGTTAACAGGTCAAATCAACACGAAAGTACGATTTGAGACTAAGGTTCTCTTTTCAGATATTATTATTAACATGCGAACTATATTTGGTGTATGGTATGATAATAGCTTTCATCTAACCAAGCTTTGACCTTATTTTCAAGGTTTATTTGTCAATGTTTAGTTTTCCTTATTAGTGTAAATAAGAAGATGTGGCATGAGTGCCAATGAAATAAATCTCCATCCAAGTCACAACGTATAAAAAGTTAACATTTATATGCCAAAGTACGGCCTTCAACACGGAGCCTTGGCTCACACCGAACAGCAAGCAAGACCGTTTCTCGGAGACGTTAAGCAACAGGTCAACTATATGTTGTGCATAAAATTATTGCCAGGTGTACTTGTCTTTCTGGTAGTCTTTAACCAACCATGACCTTATTCAAAAGATCATTGATAATGTTTAGTTGATTTGATACTTGTAATAAAACCTTAATCTTTAAGGGATCATAGATTTATTCTTACGAGGAAGCTCCGAGCATGCTTGGGGGATGCTTGGAGCTTTTTTACTAGACTCTTCTCAGTAGTTTATGTGACAATAATTATCATGATTCATTAAGATGTCAATCAAAGCTATAGCACGTCTTTAAAAAGGAAAGTTAAGCATTACAGAGGAAGCTCAATTTACACCAGTGTAAACGTCTTGTCTATTCGAATATAACATGCAGAATTTTACAAAACTATAAAATAGATAAGAATTTTTTCAATAGTTCTGTGTAATGCTTAGAAAGAAATATTAAGTCTCCACAAAAAGTAAAGTCATTGAAATACTCTCTTATCATATTTAATAGTCATTCTCTTTTAATAATAAAAAAAATACTCAAATCTTATAATTAGATAATATAATTTATACATAGTATATACTATATAAAATGCTACATAAAAGTCGTCAGGGGCGTTACTAAACAAGTTACTTTTTTAAGTTACTTATAGGGATTTTTTGTTTTTAAAAATTATTTAATAATTCAAAAGTTATTTTAATTGTCAATAGAAGCATGGGCTAAATGTAGTTTTATGAATTTTTATATCATTTTATTTAAAAAAATTAAGAATTTCTCAAGTTTGAGATGAGTATAGAGATAAAAGGTTACTTTGAAAATAATGACAAAAATATTACTTTTATAAGTTATTCTATACATCTTTGAAAAACTTAGTACTTACAATTATTTAAGGAACATGTGTCATTGTTTTGTGTTACAAATTATAAATAACTTCAAGTCTTAATAAAATCACAAGGTTCCATCTATTTATATCATTGTCTACCTTTAAGATTTTCAAGGAAAATGATATTTTAATAGTCCCAAGAGACCAATATTTGACCCAGAAGCGTGGCGTCAGAGAGGCAATTAGTGTTTCAGGAGGATTGGTTATATATTTCATTGGAAAAATAACCAGATTTCTGTGAAAATTTGTTAAAGCTAGTAAAACCTGTATGAAATGACACCTATAAAAATAATATTAACAAAAGTTACTTATACATGATATAGAAGTAATATTTAAAATAGTCTCGTTTTCACCATTACTTGTATAGGTAATTTTGAAAATTACTTGTTTAAGTTATGCCGCTAACTGAACAATGGTAATATTTTTTTTTATAAAATAGCAAGCTTAGTTCTTTTAAAGAAAATTATGGATACTTTAGGAAAATTTGTAATTCATTATTGGAAGGTTTGTTTGAGGGGGTATACCACAATTGTTTTCCCCTATTAGTCTTAAATTTGTTTTATTGGCATTTTTGTTAATTCTGCAGAATGTGTCTATGTATAAACAAAGAAATACTTGACGTGAGTAAAGTTCAATCCTGTCCAGTACAACAGGGAAAATACAACATAACATTTCATTGTATATACAGCAGTAAACATCACCAGAATTTAACCCATCAAATCCATCTCACCCCTTATTTCCCTGTTTACAAGCTTTAAAAACCATGTCCCCTTAAATTTCCACAATATTTTTATAGAAACACCAATTAAAAAATTCTATTGCTTTGAATCACCCAAGATACATGTTTTCGACCCAAAAGAAACTTTCTGCAATGAAATGTAGGGTTAATTTCCAACAGCTGTCAGATTAAAGGAAATATTAAATAAATTTCAACCCTTTTTTGCATGAAACTGGGTGTACTATGTTTTGGTGGTATTACACCTTAAAAAGATTTCACAATATAATACTGTAGAATAAATGGATTTTAGTTCAGCAATCCTCTTTTTCTTTTTCTTGAACGACTTTTTAATATATCTAAACTACTTCTATCAAAAGGAAAGTAAAGCAATATAGAGGAAACTCAGTTAACACCTGTAGGTAGAAAGTCTTTTTATATAGGCCATTATTAGTACATACTATCAATATAAAACAGATCTTAAATATATAAATATATATACTGATTTTTTTTCTACAAGATTCAAATTAGTGATTTTTTTTCCTTTTAAACTTCATAGGTATAATTATAAAAACCAACATAAAACAAAGTTAGTTAGAATTTTAGACATAATTATGTTCATTAGTATATGACATTGTGGAAGTTATTTCGAGTTACAATCATTTTTTGCTTGTTTTGTGTTGTTTAATATTCAATTTATACATGTATTAGAAATATGATCACACAATTTTAAAAGTAAATATTGATAAAAGTCTGTCTGCATCCTGTCCAATAATACTGTATAAAATCTGTATAGAGGAAAAACATTATTATCAAAGGTTTATATCACAGCATGATACATTATATAACTTGTATAGTTTGAGGGAATAACCCATTTTACAGTTTCAGTAGGGATAATTATCATAGAGCATCCTTTTTTATGCTCCATATGGAATATTTTGTTAATATTAA